CACACACACACACACACACACACACACACACACACACACACACACACACACACACACGTGCCCTTGCAGTAGGGTGCTGCGTTTACCAAAGCAGTCACGTAGGGTGTCATACATCACAACTAAAGCCCGGAGCTTTTAGCTCGTCTTGTCATTGGCTATATGAACACTTAGCCTTCCACAACTTCCTGCAGCCAAACTGAACAGTAAAGCATTAATATGGCACACAGACGCGATGGTCTGAAAGACGAGCAGAGGACAAACGACGATGGAATAAAAAGGAATCAACAAAAGAAGGTAAAATGTTAAAAGGCTTTGGAGACGAAGACAAACAGTCTGAAACATGGAGACATTCTTACACAGCAGCCAAAAAAGACAGGTCTCATCAGTGGGAGGTAGACACAGGCAGGGAGACAGACAGGAAAACACATAATGCAGGCAGAATGAGTTCAGAGACAGAGGCAGAGCATGTAAAACAAAACAGAAAAACACAAAAAGAAATGGAGACATAGACAAATGAAAATCAGCAGCTTAGTAGGACAAACTAATAAAAACTGTAATTAATCCATGTACTTCAATGAATGTGCACCGTTCCTTTTTAATTACACTGAAAAACAGACAGGGATGGACCAAGTAACAAAAAACTGAGATTACACAAAATAAAACAATAAAGCTAACACTTATTTTATACATTAAATTACAATTAACTGTTTGTGGCACTAGTGTTTCACACAAAACCATTCTGATACTGACTACTTTATCATTTTATTAAAGGGATTCCCAATTAGTTGTAACAMTAGACTTTATTTAATAAACATATATTTTAACAGTAAAATAAAGACTGTAAATATACTGTAAGATGTTTAGTTTTTATAATTTTTAAACTAAAAGTTTAAAAATATATTACATGGACGGGGCCATTTTATTTACACACAAAGCATTTTGCATAAATGATTGACGTGGGTAGGTCCTCGGTGCGAGACTGCTAGCGAGCTATATCCACCCTGAAGTTTAATCTTGGACAATATCTGATGATCGACTCTTTTAAATGAAACCAGAGAGCGTTGACAGAGAGGGGAACACAAAAATGACTCAGCCTGTAACTGAAAATATGGATGGAGGACCTCAGTTTAGCTTGTTTGTCGTGTTAGTGCTGAGCTAATATACTGTATATAAGGCAATATAGCATTGGCGCTAGCGCAAAGGCTAACAGGTTAAGCTGAGGTTCTTCTTCCATGAAGCAGCTCTGTTGTCCTCCATCCATATTTTCAGTTACAGGCTGAGTCATTTCTACCTTCTTCTCTCTGTCAACGCTCTGGTTTCATTTAAAAGAGCCGATCATCAGATATTGTCCAAGATTAACTTTCAGGGTGGATATAGCTCTATAGTGGATATACCCGACGTTATTCATCGTCAAACTTGTGTCAGATCAAGGTCCTAAGTTTTCATCAGTCACATTTCACAATGTAAAACGTCTGTTTTATCCCCTTGTATGAGTTTGTAATGGTTTGACTCTCTTTATAAAGTGCTTCCTGGTACAGTTGGGTCATGAAGCCAGTGTTTTTTTTAATTAAATAATTTATTTTTTGAAACGAGTGATTAAAGCAAAATACAGTGTGTGAGCTCTTTCAGCACAAACACTCCCACAAACTTCAGAGCAATCACACAATAAAGTTCTTATGTGGAGGGGTACCTGACAAGGTTGATCAGCTGTTCTGGACAGTGCAGGTTCGGCTCGGCTGCAGCAGGACCCTCCTCCCGCTGTCTGTGTCCTGTTATTCCCGTAATGTAAAGAGAATCGTATTTCTTTTTCTACGTCTCCAGACAGCGTGTAACATCGCCAGAAGTAGTTGATAACAGAATAAACAAAATGTTCCTGAT